ATCACTTGGTTAAGGTGGTATCTCCATTGTACAGTTGCTATTTTTCCTTTTCCATATTCTATGCATTAGAAGTGAGTCACTGAGTCCAGTCAATACTGAAGAAGAGAGAAACTGAGCTGTGCTTCCTGGACGGAGATGAATCAAAGAATATGTGTTCTTTATTTATTTATTTAGAGACAGGGTCTCACTATATCTCCCAGGCTGGTCTCAAACCCCTGGCCTCGAATGATCCTCCTGCCTTGGCTCCCCACAGTGCTGGGATTATAGGCATGAGCCAATGTGCCAGGTCTCTTTTTATGTTTATTCAATTTGTTATTCTTCCTTTATCCCTTTGAGGATCCGAGGCATACTTGTGTTGAAGCCTTCTATTTCTGTTGTTTTTTTTCTTAGATTGAGAGTATCTGTGAAAGGAGTCTTTTAAAGATTGTTGACCGGGTGCGGTGGCTCAAGCCTGTAATCCCAGCACTTTGGGAGGCCGAGACGGGTGGATCACGAGGTCAGGAGATCGAGACCATCCTGGCTAACATGGTGAAACCCCGTCTCTACTAAAAAATACAAAAAACTAGCCAGGCGAGGTGGCGGGCGCCTGTAGTCCCAGTTACTCCGGAGGCTGAGGTAGGAGAATGGCGTGAACCCAGGAGGCGGAGCTTGCTGTGAGCTAAGATCCGGCCACTGCACTCCAGCCTGGGCGACAGAGCGAGACTCCCGTCTCAAAAAAAAAAAAAAAAAAAAAGATTTTTTTTTTTTTTTTTTTTTTTTTTTTTTTTTTTTGCATTTATCTAGAGTGAATTACCCTCCTAATTATGGAGGAGGGTTTTTTTGTTGTTTTTTGTTGTTGTTGTTGTTGTTTTGTGGTGAAGAATCTGTCCTCTCTACAATTAATTTTAATAAGTTGAGGAAATTTATTTGCAGGTTCATCTTAGAGTGGGAAGTTTTGCAATTTTGTTCAGTTTTATTTTGCTATATCCTTCCTTCTTTCTCACTGCTCTCACCATCCTTATCTAGGGTTTTTGCGAATTCAGTCACGGCCCTGTATGTTTGGCATAGATCCCGGTTTTGTGGCCATGTCTATGTTGCCCTGGTTCCTAGGTATGAAAGTTACAAAAGCTGCCGTCCCAGGCAGCAGAGGGCAGCAGCTTGTTTCAGCCTCTTTTTCTAACCTCAGCCACTAGTTTTATGAACTGAGACAGATTCCAACCCACTCTGACTGGAGCATTTTCCTCTATCAGATTACTTTTTTACTTTGAAAAAAAAAATACATCTACATGTATTTTTGAGAGTGGGTCTCACCCTGTTGCACAGGCTGGAGTGCAGTGGCTCAATCATAGCTCACTGCAACCTCCACTCTCCCAGGCTTAGGTGATTCGCCACCTCAGCCTCCCAAGTAACTGGGACTACAGGTGCAAAGCCACCATGCCCAGCTAATTTTCATATTTTTTTTATAAACAGGGTTTTATCATGTCGCTCAGACTAGTCTCGAACTCCTGGCCTCAAGTGATCCACCCACCTCTGGCCCCCAAAGTGCTATGATTACAGGTGTGAGCCACCATGCCCAGCAAAAATAATGTTTTTAATAGACACAAAAATAAAATAGATACGTTATCATAAAATTACTATATTTAAACAATAAGGGCCAGGCGCGGTGGCTCAAGCCTGTAATCTCAGCACTTTGGGAGGCTGAGGCAGGTGGATCGTTTGAGGTCAGGAGTTCAAAACCAGCCTAGCCAACATGGTGAAACCCCATCTCTACTAAAAATACAAAGATTAGCCAGGCATGGTGGTGGGCACCTGTAATCCCAACTACTTGGGAGGATGAGGCAGGAGAATTGCTTGAGGTCGAGGCAGAGGTTGCAGTGAGCCAAGATCACACCATTGCACTCCAGCCTGGGCAATAGAGCAAGACTCTGTCTCAGAAAACAAATGAACAAACAAACAAACAAAAAACCAACAGGGAAAAATTTGTGTGTGCCATTTTATTTCAATAAATAAACACACAAATAGGTGGTAAGAATACACACACAAAGAAGGAACATCACAATATTTATTGCATTTATTTCTTGGAAATGGTTTTTGGTTGTTGTTTTGAGACAGGGTCTCCTCTCACTGCAAACTGCACCTCCTGGGCTCTAAAAACCCTCTAACCTCAGCCCCACCCCCAGTAGCTGGAACTACAAGTGCACACCACCACACGTGGCTACTTTTTGTATTTTTTTGTAGTAACAGGGTTTCACCATGTTGCCTGGGCTGGCTGTAAACTCCTAGCCTCAACTGATCTGCCTGCCTCAGTCTCCCAAAGTGCTGGGATTACAGGCATGAGCCACCACTGACTGATAATGGTCTTTAAAGACATTTCTGGACATTTGTGATCAGAGGAAAAATGTTGCCTAATAGTCTAATAATTTTTAGAAAATATTTGTTCCATTTTGTAAGCCATTTTATTTTTCTATCATTAGTTGATGCCTATGTGCTTTTTTTGAGGGAGGGTACCAAATTTCTTTATTTGAAGGAATGGTACAAATCAAAGAACTTAAGTGGATGTTCTGGTACAACTTACAGAAAAGGTAAAGGAAACCCCAACATGCATGCACTGCCTTGGTGACCAGGGAATTCACCCCATGGCTATGGGGAAATTAATCTGAGGCTTAGCTTTCATTATCGCTGTCTCCCAGGGTGTGCTTGTCAAAGAGATACTCTGCCAAGCCAGATTCGGGTGCTCCCATCGTGGGCAAGTTGGTCACGTGGTCACCCAATTCTTTGATGGCTTTCACCTGCTCATTCAGGTAATGTGTCTCAATGAAGTCACACAAATGGGGGTCATTTTTGTCAGTGGCCAGTTTGTGCAGTTTCAGTAGTGACTGATTCACATTACTTTCCAAATGTAATGCACACTCCATCGCATTCAGCCCGCTCTCCCAGTCGTCATAGTCTGGTTTCTTGATATCCTGAAGGAAGATTCGGCCACCTCGTTGGTTCTGCAGCTTCATCAGTTTCTCGGCATGTTCCCTTTCCTCATGAGATTGGTGAAAAGTATTTGGCAAAGTTCTTCAAAGCCACATCATCGCGGTCAAAGTAGTAGGACATGGACAGGTAAACGCAGGAAGCGTAGAGCTCCAGGTTGATCTGGCGGTTGATGGCGGCCTTTGAGTCCTGGTGGTAGTTCTGGCGCACCTGCGAGGTGGACGCGGTCGTCATGGCGGAGGCAAGGACAGGCGGCGGCCGCAGCGGTGGCTGCGCGGCGCTGGAGCGGCGGCGGGGGCCTTGGGGCAGTCCGAGGGCACGGTGAAGAGGTGACTGAGGGCTGGCTACGGGCGGCCGGCCGGGATGGAGGACCAGCGCCGGTTCCGTCCAAGCACTGTTAAGGCAGGAAACCCCGACGACTCTCGGCGAAGAATGTCTGGCCTATGTGTTTGTCTTTATGTCAAGATCGTGTTGTATTTGAGTCAAAAAATATGACTGATGGAAGACTCCTCAACAAAATTGGTAGGTAATATTTGTGTACAATTTTTATATTTATATATAACCCCACATTAGTCATTTCAGAAATGGATGAAGGCAGTAGGAAGATAGCATGAGTAGGATAAGGTACATTGTTTTTCTTCCAATTAGCTATTTGTCTCTTATTTTTTATTTTTGTTTTATTTATTTATTTTTGGAGTCTCGCTCTGTTGCCCACGCTGGAGTGCAGTGGCATGATCTCGGCTCACTGCAACCTCTATCTCCCGGGTTCAAGCGATTCTCCTGCCTCAGCCTCCCTAGTAGCTGGGATTACAGGTGCCTGCCACCATGCCCAGCTAGTTTTTGTATTTTTAGTAGAGACGGGGTTTCACCATGTTGGCCAGGCTGGTCTCAAACTCACGACCTCAAGTGATCACCTGCCTCAATCTCCCAAAGTGCTGGATTTACAGGCATGAGCCACCTTGTCCGGCAGATTTTTTAAAAATAAATTTCTTGGCCAGGTGCAGTGACTCATGCCTGTAATCCCAGCACTTTGGGAGGTCGAGAGGGATGGATCACTTGAGGTCAGGAGTTTGAGACAAGCCTGGCCAACATGGTGAAACCCCGTTTCTACCAAAAATACAAAAACTAGCTGGATTTGGTGGCGGACGCCTGTAATCCCAGCTACTCGGGAGGCTGAGGCAGGAAAATCGCTTGAAGTTGAGAGGTAGGGGGTTGCAGTGAGCCGAGATCACACCATTGCACTCCAGCCTGGGTGACAAGAGTGAGACTCCATCTCAAAATAAATAAATAAATAAATTACTTGATCTTATTAAGTAGAAAAGTTTTGTTTCTTCCTTTATTTTCTTATCTAATTAAGGTTACAAATAAAAGATTGTTTAACAGGCAGGAGCAACAGAAAACAAGGACTCGAAACTTTACAAACTCTGTGATCAATTAATGAATGATTGGAAATTGTACTGAGAATGATGGCTCGCACCTGTAGTGCCAACTACTCTGGAGGCTGAGGCAGAAGGATCCCTTGAGTTGTGAGTCCAGCCTGGACAACGTAGTGAGACCCTGTCTCTAAATAAATAAAAAAATAAAACAGAAATTGTCTGTACTGTACTTAGCACAAATTCTATCAATGTATGCCAAATTATACATAACATATAGAAACAGAATTTCTGCTGTCAAAGTAGTAGATGTTCTGGATAAAACATTTCAGGTTCTGAATACAGAGAAAACATGAGAGTACAAGGGAAATGCTAAAATAAATACTACTTGCAACTTCAACTGGACCCAGATATTTAATCTAGTAGTAGTGTTGAAAATTATGGGCCTGGCATGGTGACTCACGCCTGTAATCCCAGCACTTAGGGAGGCCAAGGCATATAGATCACTTGAGCTCAGGAGTTTAAGACCAGCCTGTGCAACATGGTGAAACCCCATCTCTACAAAAAATACAAAAATTAGGCGGGCATGGTGGCATGCACCTGTAGTCCCAGCTACTTATGAAGCTGAGGTGGGAGGATGGCTTGAGCGCAAGAGGCAAAGGTTGCAGTGAGCCGAGATCATACCACTGTCCTCCAGCTTGGGCCATAGACCCTGCTCTCAAAAAAAAAAAAAAAAAAAAGCCCCCGTCCCCTGCCCGCCGGGCCTCGGTGGCAGCATGGCAGGGGCGCGGCATCAGCAGCCGCAGCAGCAGGTGGCCCAGGGGGTGTTTCTGTTGGGTCGCATGGTCTGGCAGCAGCATGGTGGACTACCTGATCAGCCGCACACCGGCTATCTGCTCGAGGACAGGCTCACAGCGCAGCAGCTCTTCGCCAGCACCCACAGTCTCACCTACCATGACTTCCTGATTCTCCCAGGATTCATAGACTTCATAGCTGATGAGGTGGACCTGACCTCAGCCCTGACCCGGAAGATCACGCTGAAGACACTGCTGATCTCCTCCCCCATGGACACTGTGACAGAGGCTGACATGGCCATCGTGATTGCTCTGATGGGAGATATTGGTTTCATCCACCACAACTGCACCCCAGAGTTCCAGGTCAAGGAGCTGCGTAAGGTCAAGAAGTTTGAACAGGGCTTCATCACGCACCCCGTGGCGCTGAGCCCCTCGCACACTGTGGGTGATGTGCTGGAGGCCAAGATGCGGCATGGCTTCTCTGGCATCCCCATCACTGAGACGGGCACCATGGGCAGCAAGCTGGAGGGCATTGTCACCTCCCAAAATATCAACTTTCTTGCTGAGAAGGACCATACCACCCTCCTTAGTGAGGTGATGATGCCAAGGATTGAGCTGGTGGTGGCTCCAGCCGGTGAGATGTTGAAAGAGGCAAATGAGATCCTGCAGTGTAGCAAGACAGGGAAGCTGTCTTTTGTCAATGATCGTGATGAGCTGGTGGCCATTATCACTGGCACTGACCTGAAGAAAAACCAAGACTACCCTCTGGCCTCCAAGGATCCCCACAAGCAGCTGCTGTGCGGGGCAGCTGTGGGCACCTGTGAGGATGACAAATATCACCTGGACCTGCTCACCCAGGCGGGCATCAACGTCATAGTATTGGACTCATCCCAAGGGAACTCGGTGTATCAGATCGCCATGGTACATGACATCAAACAGAAGTACCCCCACCTCCAGGTGATTGGGGGAAACATGGTGACAGCAGCCCAGGTCAAGAACCTGATTGATGATGGTGTGGACCGGCTGTGTGTGGGCATGGGCTGCGGCTCCATCTGCATCACCCGGGAAGTGATGGCTTGTGGTCGGCCCCAGGGCACTGCTGTGTACAAGGTGACCGAGTATGCCTGGCACTTTGGTGTGCCCATCATAGCCAATGGAGGCATCCAGACCATGAGGCACATGGTCAAGGCCCCAGCCCTTGGAGCCTCGACAGTGATGATGGGCTCCCTGCTGGCCGCCACCATGGAGGCCCCTGGTGAGTACTTCTTCTCAGAAGGGGTGTGGCTCAAGAAGTACCAGGGCATGGGCTCACTGGATGCCATGGAGAAGAGCAGCAGCAGCCAGAAACGATACTTCAGCAAGGAGGATAAGGTGAAGATCACATACGGTGTCTAGGGCTCCATCCAGGACAAAGGGTCCATTCAGAAGTTCATGCCCTACCTCATAGTGGGCATCCAGCACGGCTGCCAGGATGTCAGGGCCCACAGCCTGTCTGTCCCTCCATCCATGATGTACTCAGGAGATCTCAAGTTTGAGAAGCGGATCATGTCAGCCCAGATCAAGGGTGGCGTCCATGGTCTGCACTTTTAGGAGAAGCAGCTGTACTGAGGACAACAGTGGAGGCCAAGGTGGTGGAGGGGGTGCACCCCAGTGTCCCCCTTCAGGCACAGCCTCCCTCCATAACTTAGTGGTCCGCAGATTTGCACTATGGGTTCCCCAGCTCCTTTCCAGGGAGAGAGCAGGGGAGGCCCTGAGGGGTCTGCAGGCCCTCGCTGGGCATCCCCTGCAGAGTTAGGACTGCTCCCTGGGCCAGGCTGCCCTGGGAGCCCCCCAAGCCCAGCCAGCTGGGTTCTCAGGCCCTGTACCTGCCTCAGGTCTTTCTTGCTGCAGCCTGCTCCAGCCCAGCCCTCATCCCAGGGGCAGGCAGCCCCTCCTGGCTTCTCCTGTAGGGCACCTCCCTGCCCCCAGCCCCCCAGAAAATGGTGCTCTCCTGGCCCTGCCTCTGGCCCTTCCTGAGCCGCTGCCCTCTCAGCCATGTGGCACTTCTGAGCTCCTGACCTAGGCCAAGGGGAGGTCTCTGCCCCCTTCCCTGGCCCTGGGCTAACCTTGGGTCCTGCTCCTCAGGCCAGTCCCCTGTCCCTGGCCCTGGGGAGGAGGCTGCCCTGGTCATGGCCACCTGCCTGTCATTCCTGACTTACCACCGTCCCCAGTGAACCATTCCTGCCCTCTCCTCAGCTGCAGTTGAAGGCTTTAACTTTGCATACTTTGGGATCACAGTTGCATCATTGTGTATTAAAGAATTGGAATAAATCAAGCAGGTCTCAAAGCTAAAAAGAAAAACAAAGGAAGAAAGGAAGGAAGGAAGGAAGGAAGGAAGGGAGGGAGGGAGGGAGGGAGGGAGGGAGGGAGGGAGGGAGGGAAGAAAAATTATGTAGACCAGAGTTCATGGGTTCCAGCTCTGGCTTATCTCTCGTCTGGTTGCATGACTTGTCATTTTTGGCCTTAGTTTTCTTTAAAACTATGAGTTTAAGACATGAGCTGTCTCTCCATATCTCCCTTTTTTTTTTTTTTTTTTTTTTTTTGAGACAGTCTGACTCTGTTGCCCAGACTGGAGTGTATTGGTGTGATCTCAACTCACTGCAACCTCCGCCTCTGAGGTTCAAGAGATTCTCCTGCCTCAGCCTCCTGAGTAGCTGGGATTACAGGCATCCACCACCACGCCCAGCTAATTTTTGTATTTTTAGTAGAGGCGAGGTTTCACCATGTTGGCCAGGCTGGTCTCAAACTCCTGACCTCAAGTGATCCATCTGCCTTAGTCTCCCAAAGTGCTGGGATTATAGGTGTGAGCCACCTCGCCTGGCCTATGTCTTCCACTTTTAATAACCTATGCCCAGGATCTGAAAAATATTTCCACAGTGAGTGAAGTAATTACTATTCCATGCCTCAGAGACCTCCAACATCTCTATGTCATCAGAGAGCCGTTTTTGCGCGCTTTCCATCTGTGTTCATTTGTGTCCTATGTCCCCCGGGTCTCTTTCCTTGCTATGTTTTTCTTATGTTCGTATGAATTAAAATCCAAAATCCTTTTTCCTAACAGAAATACTTTCCTCCTGAGCTCTTACTTGCCCCTTGGCTAGCAAGGATGGTTAATTAGCTCCAACACATGAAGGGTAGAGTCAAACAGGGAATTGTATTAACATCTGCTTTGTTTGTTCCTGGAAACCTATGCAAATAAACAAGAGAAGATACTGTTACTAAGAAACTATAACACAATTTAGTTTGCCCAAAGCACTTTATAGTATTTCTTATTGTTTATTCTTCCTGCCAAGACCAAGGCAAGAGAAGGTAACAGGTGCGAGTCCATTAACGAGCCTCCAGCAGCACATTGCACTGTGATGAAATGGTTACAAGAATTGAATTGGAGGAGTGGGGTTAGAGAAGATTGGAACTGTTGGGGTTTTTATTTGAGGCTACAAAATAGTATAGTTTGAGGGCCAGACACTGTGGCTCACGCCTGTAATATCAGCACTTTGGGAGGCCAAGGCATGCGGATGACTTGAGGTCAGGTGTTCGAGACAAGCCTGGCAAACATGGGGAAACCCTGTCTCTACTAAAAATACAAAAATTAGGGCAGGGCGCGGTGGTTCATGCCTGTAATCCCAGCACTTTGGGAGGCCGGGGGGGCGGATCACCTGAGGTCGGGAGTTCGAGACCATCCTGATCAACATGGAGAAACCCCGTCTCTACTAAAAATACCAAAAAAATCAGCCGGGCGTGGTGGGGGGCGCCTGTAATCCCAGCTACTCAGGAGGCTCAGGCAGGAGAATCGCTTGAACCTGGGAAGCATAGGTTGCAGAGAGCTGAGATCGCGCCATTGCACCCAGCCTAGGTGATGAAGCGAGACTCTGTCTCACAAAAAAAAAAAAAAAAAAAAAAGAAATGTCCAGGCCAGGTGTGGTGGCTGATGCCTGTAACCCCAGCACTTTGGGAAGCTGAGGTGGGTGGATCACCTGAGGTCAGGAGTTTGAGACCAGCCTGGCCAACATGGTGAAACCCCATCTCTACCAAAAATACAAAAATCAGCCAGGTGTGGTGGTGCAAGCCGGTAGTCCCAGCTACTTGGGAGGCTGAGGCAAGGGAATCGCTTGAACCTGGAAGGCAGAGGTTGCAGTGAGCTGAGATCATGCCGCTGCACCCCAACCTGGGCGGGAAAGTGAGACTCTGTCTCACAAAGAAAAAAAAGAAATTTCCAGAACCTCAAAAGGCTCCCTGAGGTCCCCCGCCAGTTAGTAATCCTGCTTAAGGGTAATGACTGACTTCTCTTACCATGGATCAGTTGTACCTGTTTTCATACTTCATAAACATGAAATTAGGCATTTACTAATTACATTTAGGAATTACTGCTTTGGTTGGGCTTAGTGTCTCATACCTGTAATCCCAGTACTTTGGGAGGCCAAGGCGGGAGGATCGCTTAAGCCCAGGAGTTCAAAACCAGCCTGGGAAACAAGGCGAGACTCTGTCTCTACGAAAAAAAAAAAATAAACTGGGTGTGGTGGCACACGCATGCCATGCCACTGCACTCCAGCCTGGGCAACAAAGCGAGAACTTGTCCCTCAAAAAATAAAAATAAAAAAAGGAATTACTGCTTTGTGTTTGATTTTTTTTGGAGACGGGGTCTGGATCTCCCAGGCGGAAGTGCAGTGGCATGATATTGGCTCTCCACCTGCAACCTCCACCCTCTGGGCTCAAGTTATCCTCCCACCTCAGCCTCCCAACTCCGAAGTAGCTGGGACTACAGGCGCATGCCACCCAACCCAGCTAATTTTTGTATGTTTCTATAGAGACAGGATTTTCCTATGTTGCCCATGCTGGTCTCAAACTCCTGAGTTCAAGCAATTTAACTGCCTCAGCTTCCCAAAGTGCTGGGATTACAGGGGTGAGCCCCATGCCCAGCATCGTGTTTGATTTCTTTTTCTTTTCTTTTTTCTTTTTTTTGAGACGGGATCTCGTTCTGTTGCCCAGGCTGGAGTGCAGTGGCTCGATCTTGGCTTACTGAAGCCTCAGTCTCCTGGGTTCAAGCCATTCTCCTGGCTCAGCTTCCCGAGTAGCTGGGACTACAGGTGCCTGCCACCACGCCCGGCTAAATTTTTGTATTTTTAGTAGAGGCGGGGTTTCACCATGTTAGCCAGGATGGTTGCCCACTAATTTTTGTATGTTTAGTAGAGATGGGGTTTTGCCATGTTGGCCAGGCTAGTCTCAAAATCCTGACCTCAGGTGATCTGCCCACCTCAGCCTCCCAAAGTGCTAGGATTACAGGCGTGAGCCACTGTGCCTGGCCAAGAGCTCACCATTTCTATGCAAACAACATAGAATGAAAGTCCATTTTGGAAATTTAATTCACAATTGCTTTTAAAAAACTACAGGCTCACGCCTGTAATCCCAGCACTTTGGGAGGCCAAGTTGGGCCGATCACCTGGGGTCAGGAGTTTGAGACCAGCCTGGCCAACATAGTGAAACCCCATCCCTACTAAAAATACAAAAATTAACCAGGCCTGGTGGCGCATGCCTGTAGTCCCACCTACTTGGGAAACTGAGGCGGGAGGATCGCTTGAACCCAGGAGGCGAAGGTTGCAGTGAGCTGAAATCGTGCCACTGGACTCCAGCCAGGACGACAGAGCAAGACCCTGTCTAAAAAGTAAAATAATAAAATAATAATGATAATAAAGTAGTAGAGTGACTGGGGGAAAAAGTACTCAGGGCACGTAACTTTACTCCAAGAATGGCATTCTTAGTGAGCCTCACTGCTGAAACTGCCTGCTGTAATCTGAAAGCAGTTTTATCTAATACCTGTTAAAACAGCCTACTGTGACTCTCAGAAATAGTTTTACTTATTGCCTTCACTTACCAATCAAAACATGCCAGCTCCCCATCTCAAAAAAAAAAAAAAAGTTAGCTGGGCAAGGGTGGCGGGCGCCTGTAATCTGAGCTACTCAGGAGGCTGATGTAGGAGAATCACTTGAACTCAGGAGGCAGAGGTTGCAGTGAGCCGAGATCATACCAATGCACTCCAGCCTAGGCTACAGAGCAAGACTCCATATCAAAAAAAAAAAAAAAAAAAAATGGTGAGCTCTGCTATAAGGTGCATTTGGGGATAGCTCCTGCGATGTGAAGATGAAGTAAAGGAACTTTGAGTAAGAGCCTGCAGCAGTTCCCAGTGTGCCCCTCTTGGCACTAACAGAGGAAACTGGGATCCAAGCCCAGCCCAGCCCAATCTGAGCTGAGAGATTCTCAAAGGATTCCAGACTCTTGCCCAAGGGCTCCTGGGTCATCCAGAGCATTGTCGGGCAAGACAGAACTAGAACAGACTCAAAAAAGAAAGCTGACCCACTCCTGACCCACTCACTATGTGCATATCTCTAAAGGGACAGGCCTGACCAAATAAGATGGAGCTGCCTTTTCCAAGACATTAGGGTTAGTGGCAGTGCCGACTTGGGATGACAGGAGACTCTGCTTCAATCTGGTCTTTGGTTCAGCTTGGAAAACAAATCCAAATCTCCTTGTTGACAGAACTTCAGATGGTCCAACAGAGCTCCTTGGAGGTATGAGGCCTGAGGCCTGAAGCCTGAAGGGACCAGCAGGTAACTGGGCACCACAGCCTGAGGGCAATCGACCCCAAGCAAGAGCATCCTACTTCCTCGGAGGATTTGTTTGCTTGAGGAAAGTGAAGGCTGGCAGTCATATTCCTTCAGGATCTTCCAAAAATGTTGGCAAGGGTGATCCTGATGAAGCCCCCTTGTTTGGTGGCCAACGCCAGCTCTAAACGGACTGGCAAGCCAAAAATGACCACTCTTTCCTGTGGTTCAGAATTCCCAACCTGCCCTAATGGAGACGCAACCTGAATCCAAGAGTAAGGCAGGCAGCGACAGATAAGTTACAGCGTGATGCCTACTTCATAAAGCACAAAAGACCATGTGATTTAGATGGCGGGTCATGGAAATCTAAAGGGGATGGTGAAGTCGCACCGTAAAGGGAAAGGTGACTGAGGGGCTGAAGCAGTTCGGACAGGAGAAAGGATCAGGAGGAGACAGAGCGGAGAATGGAGCCTGAGGGCTACCCAGGGGTGGGAAGAGGGTAGCCGGAGACCCGTGGGTCGGCCTGGGTTGGTTGTGCTGGGCAGGTTCTCAGCGGTGGGAAAGTCTGGCCACACTGCCTTGGCTTCCTGACTGGACTTCACTTTGACGGGTAGGGGCGGTTTCTGTCCCACCCCTCACCCCCCTGTCCAGCCCTTGGAGCCAGAGCACGGTTTGTGACAGATTCAGGGAAACGTTTCGTGCCAGATGAGAGGTAACCGGTAGCGGCTACCGGCTAAAGGCCTGCACTAGGGGGGGATTCCTTCCCCCAGCAGCGCTGGTGGTCCTCATTTCCGGGTGCCTGCGGATAGGCGGGCTGGGGTCGGAGGTCGGCGGCCAGAAGCCCGATTCCCTCGGCCCCAGCTCGTCCACGTACATCCAGCGGCTGTCAAACGACCTTTGAAAATGGTCCGGCGGCGGCCGGGAAACAGCAGCTAAGTCTCTTCCAATCCCTAAATCCCGCCCCTCTCCTTCCGGCGGCGTTTCCGTGGCGACGCTGTCCAAAGTGCGGCTGCGCAAGGGTGACGGCGCGCGGGCAAGGGGGAGGGGGTGTTTTGGTTCTAATCGCTCGCCGTCCTTCCAGGCTTGCCGTCGGAAAGCTTCTAGTTCTCGTTTCCCTTTCCCTCTCCTGGCCCCAGTCCTTCCTCTCTCTTTCCCTTCTTTCCGCCTTTTTTCTGCTGCCGCTCCGGGTCCGGGCCATTTTCCGGGCCGGGCGCACTAAGGTGCGCGGCCCCGGGGCCCAGTATATGACCCGCCGTCCTGCTATCCCTCTCTTCCCCCGCCCCATGTGGCTGCGGGGCCGCGGCGGCGCTGCCCACTATGGCCCGGAAAGCAGTTAGCAGGAAGCGGAAAGCGCCCGCCTCGCCGGGAGCTGGGAGCGACGCTCAGGGCCCGCAGGTGAGGGTTGAGAGGCCGGCACCTAGGTGGTGAGGCCGAGGCACCAAGAGGGGTTTAGGGTCCGCAGATCCTGCGACAGGAATCGGGATCCAAGGTCTGCAGTCAGAGGCAAAACAGGAATGGGGCCAGGGCTTGTGGAGTCAGGGCTGGACCCTCGTTAACTGGAGGGCAGATAGGCCAGGGCGGTGAGGAGCCAAAGGGGAACTCAGCAATGGGACATAATCCGCGGGAGGCCTGCAGCCGTGGATAGGGCTTGAAAAGAAACCAGAATCCTGGCTTTGGAGGAAGGGGAAACCGAAGTTAAGGGAATCGGAAACCAACTTTGGTAGAGTGAACACTACCTTCATGGACCCTAGGAAGCTGGGATGATTGCGTCCCTCCTGGAAGAAAGAAGGAGTCTCCCTATATGTATACCCAACCCTGAACTGGGCCTTTTGGCGTTTGGACCCCAAAAGAAACAACAGTTCCCAGGTATCATCTCTATACTGCCCCCTTTGGAAAGGAAGGTCTTCTTGGACATAGATATGGCCTCTGATTTCCTGGGGGCCTACTACCCCGTTGGTGGTTGATTTTTCGAATTCTTCAACTGCCTGGAGCGCGGGCATGATGACAGAGGAACGGTCATTGATGATGCATCCCTGGAAGACCTGGCACTCAGGTCTGTCTCCTTGGACTGTATCTTCCGTGCTCCAGTGGGAGTGCAGACTGAGAGGGAGAAGGGGGCTGGGCAGAGATGCAGCCCAGGTTGGTATGGGAATCACTCGACTTCTCATTTCCTTCAGTCTTTCACTCCTGAAAGGTCTAGTAAACCTTTTAGCCTGTTCTATTCTTCATTGATTCCCTTGACTTTTAGCCCTTGTAATTCACATAGGTAAGTTTGACTGTGAGCAACTTTTTTTAATGTTGGAAGAGTTAAACGACTTTCTGGATTGAGATTCTTGTTCTCTTGTGTTTGTATTTCTGTTATTTGTAAATTCTGCAGTATGAGTTATGAGTTGTTGGTGACTTCTGTAATACAGCAGGATCCGTTCGGAAGAAGAGCAGCCAAAGCCCTGATTTCTAATGTTGTTTCCACAGTTTGGCTGGGATCACACGCTTCACAAAAGGAAAAGACTTCCTCCTGTGAAGAGATCCTTAGTATACTACTTGAAGAACCGGGAAGTCAGGCTACAGAATGAAACCAGCTACTCTCGAGTGTTGCATGGTTATGCAGCACAGCAACTTCCCAGTCTCCTGAAGGAGAGAGAGTTTCACCTTGGGACCCTTAATAAAGTGTTTGCATCTCAGTGGTTGAATCATAGGCAAGTGGTGTGTGGCACAAAATGCAACACGGTAAGTGTCTGGGGGGCTGTGACCTCTCCCCTAGGTCCTGGATATATCGTGCCACTTGCTGTAGAACCTCTCGCTGCTAGTTTTCCCATCTGTTTCTTTTAGAAGGGACTAGCCTTACTCTCTTTTCCATTCTTCCCCGTTGATGACTTCTTCCTCTCTTTTTGTGCTCCTTTTTTCACTCATACATTTCTTTTCTGGTAAGTCTTCAAAGGAGTGTATTTCTTTAGGCTTTCTCTGGATGTGCTGCTTCTAGAGGGTTGTTTGTTTGTTTTTGCCTCATCTTTTTATGCTGGTTTTTAACTCATAGGCCTCAAAGGAAAGACTTAAGAAATAATGATGCTCAGAGCATCATTCATGATACGTAGTAGTGAAAACAGCCTAAGAACATATGTCGAAGTATTTAAAATAGCACACTTGGCTGTTTTTAGTGAATAGAATCTAAAAATGTATAATAAACTCAGATATGAGAAATACATGAACTGTTTTCTGTAAGGAAGGCAGGGAATGTATGTCTGGTAGTATATTTCAGGGTATAAGCATTTGCTCTTTGGAAAGTAGCCTTTTTAAGAGTGACTAGAAAGACAGTTATAAATGAAGTGAAAAATTTCTCAGTAAGCTTTGTAACCAACCGAATTATAGGCCAGGATAAAATAAGTCAAAGAGCAGAAACGTTTGGAACAAAGTCCACGAATAGCATGTCAGATAAATGGCATGTCAGAATGGCAAATACAAAGAGGCAATGCCTAGGGCCTAGGGGTGGGAAATGATTACACCCACCCCTCTCTCCATTTTCACCTCACCCTGTGTGAATAGACAAGTAATGTCATAATGTGTGAGTAAATTGACCCTGGACTGAAACACATTTTGGATCATGAAAAGAGAGAAGCTTGCTCTAGGTCAAGAAAATCTTAAGTACTAGGAGAAGTGTCTGTTTATAAAGGACGTAGGCAAAAATTTAAACAGTTTTAAGGAAGGAAATAATACCATGGTGGTTGGTCTGTTTATAAAGGACATGACAAAAATTTAAACAGTTTTGAGGAAGGAAATAATACCATGGTGGCTGGGGCCAACCTTCCGTTTCCTCTTCTGTTGAGAGTCGCTTGTCTTACACAGAAGCTTTTCAAAACTAAGTGGTGGCAACAAGCCTCCAGAGAACTTCCTTTTCTTGGTCTCTCCAGCTGCCCACTCATGGTTGAGAACTGTCATCCTTGTCACTTGGGGTAGAAAAAGAGTCTTCTGCTTGGAAGAGTTCATTCCATTTACCGCACATGCATCATGGTGTTTAGCCTAGCAGATATTACTGAATTGTAAACTGAATTAATCACAGCCTCTTGCTTCTTGAATTTATTGACACTATTTTGAAGGCGAGCATAATAAGTAATAATTTAACCTACTCTTAATTCCTACCTCTTTCTGTCTTCCTACGTCCTCATAACCTAGTGTTTGGGGCAAGGAGAGCTGTTTTCATTTTATAGTTAGTATTTGTTTGTTTTTGCTTAGCTTCCAGAACCAAAGCAGGGAACTAGGAATAGTGCTCTTTTCTGAACTTTGTGACATTGGGCAAATGATTCCCTTATTTGTGCTTTTGTTTTTGCATCTGCAAAATGGGAGTGATAATAATCTGGTGCTGCGAAGGTATCTGCATGCATCTGGAAAATACTCTAAGTGAGCAATATCTTACTTATTTAGAAGTACTGGTAGCAGTAAAAATGATTCCATCAACTTTTCCCACAATTTGAAGAGAGGAAAATTATTTAAATAATTGTAACTGTCTTTGGATAATGTGTGAAGATTTCAGAGGTGGGAGAGATTATGTTGTATTCTCAATAGTAAAGTTTTGATGTAGAATGTCCCTGTGCTGTGGGCTAACAATCAAACTAGGGACAGTCATTCGATCCCCAAATTTCTTGGCCCCAGCTAGCACAGCAGTAACAGCAAGGATAGCCAACTGTTGTTTTTATCATTGCTAACAATACAGTCATACTTTTACAAAACTACTTAATTAGAGGTGGTATAATCTTAATTAGAACATGGGGGCCGGGCGCGGTGGCTCAAGCCTGTAATCCCAGCACTTAGGGAGGCCGAGACGGGCGGATCACGAGGTCAGGAGATCGAGACCATCCTAGCTAACACGGTGAAACCCCGTCTCTACTAAAAATACAAAAAACTAGCCGGGCGAGGTGGCGGGCGTCTGTAGTCCCAGCTACTCCGGAGGCTGAGGCAGGAGAATGGCGTAAACCCGGGAGGCGGAGCTTGCAGTGAGCTGAGATCCGGCCACTGCACTCCAGCCTGGGCGACAGAGCGAGACTCCGTCTCAGAAAAAAAAAAAAAGAACATGGGTCTGGCAGCTGGGGTGGGTTAGGTATATGTCCGTGGTTTAGACTTATGCAAACCCAGATAGGCTGTGGAGCCAGACAGAAAAGCTAAGTAAAGACAAGTTTGCTAGGCACAAGACAGTAAGGAGTAGTAGGGGCTGCAAAGAACTACAGAAGACATTCTCGACATCAGCCAACTGTTGCTGTGTAGGAATTTGGGCCTAGTGTTAAAAAGATTTTCTTTGGTAGTGTGAGGCGGCTCACACTTGTAATCCCAGCACTTTGGAAGGCCAAGGTGGGCGGATCACCTGAGGTCAGGAGTTCGAGACCAGCTTGGCAAACATGGTGAAACCCTGTCTCTATAAAAGTACAAATAAATTAGCTGGGCATGATGGTGGGTGCCTGTAATCCCAGCTACTTGGGAGACTGAGGCAGGAGAATCGCTTGAACCCGGGAGGTGGAGGTTGCAGTGAGCTGAGATTGCGCCATTCCACTCCACCCTGGGCAACAGAACGAGACTCCGTCTAAAAAAAAAAAAAAAAGATACTAATGTCTTGAACCTATATAACTGGAAAGATGGCAGAGTGAATGTTAAGGAACGGATTTGGGTTTTGTCCTTTTCATCAATTAGTTGAAGTTTGGCAGAGAGTAAGGATTGAAGTTAGTGATTTGGCAGTCGTTTATGTAGAAGGAATTATTGAAATTGTTACATTACCATGGGAAAGAGGGTAGAGAGCAGGCATTCCTGGCTTGAGTTGTGTAAACTTTCCCTAAAATTGCAAAGTTTTGATTATATGTGTACTTTCTGGGCAAGATTTTGGGGGGGTGGTGTGGGAAGTAGTTCTTAGTTTTTGTCCTTAGATTTTCAAAGAGAGTACTATGAGCCAAAAATGGTTAAGAACCACTGATACTGACAGATAAGCTAAGGAGAGAACCTTGGAAAACATGTACATTTACAGGGCAAGAAGAACTGCTGCGGGGGAGCAGGGAACTCAGGAAAACCAGGAGAATACAGAAAATAAATCAATAAAGGAGGACTTTATTTTTTTTGTTGTTGTTTTGTTTTTTTGAGACGGAGTCTCGCTATGTCGCCAGGCTGTAGTACAGTGGCACGATCTCAGCCCACTGTAACCTCTGCCTCCTGGGTTCAAGCGATTCTCCCGCCTCAGCCTCCCAAGTAGCTGGGATTACAGGTACATGCCACCACGGCCAGCTAATTTTTGTATTTTTAGTAAAGACGGGATTTCACCATGTTGGCCAGGATGGTCTTGAACTCCTGACCTCAGGTGATCCGCCCGCCTCGGCCTCCCAAAGTGCTGGGATTACAGACGTGAGCCACCTTGCCTGGCCAGTGTTCTTGTTTTGGTCTGTGTTCAGGTATGATTATAGAGTGGTCTTGTTTTTGTCTTTATCACAGTTACAGAGTGGCCTTGACTGATGTTGATGTTCTCTGAAATTATTTATTTACACTAGGATACCAAGGCCTACCTGAGAGTATCAGGCTAACCCATTATGTCAGGGTTGCTTTGTTCTCTTTTTTTTCTTTTTCTTTGTTTTGAAACTGAGTCTTAATGTGTTGCCTAGGCTGGAGTGCAGTGGCGCGATCTTGGCTCACTGTAACCTCTGCCTCCAGGTTCAAGCGATTCTTGTGCCTCAGCCTCCCAAGTAGCTGGGACCACAGGCAGGTGCCACCATGCCTGGCTAATTTTTGTATTTTTAGTGGAGACGGGGTTTCACCATGCTGGCCAGGCTGGTCTCAAACGCCTGACCTCATGTAGTATGCCTGCCTCAGCCTCCCAAAGTGCTGGGATTACAAACGTGAGCCACCACGCCCGGCCGCTTTGTTCTTTTTCAAGACAGGGTTTTGCACCCAGGGTGGAGTACAGTGGTGCAGTCATGGCTCGCTGCAGCTTCAAATTCCTGGGCTCAAGGGATCCTCCTGCCCCAGAATCCTGAGTAACTGGGATTATACCACATGCCATCAACCTGGCCTTTTTTTTTTTTTTTTTCCCTGAGACTGAGTTTTGTTCTTATTGCCCAGGCTGGAGTGCAGTGGCTCGGTCTCAGCTCACTGCAACCTCTGCCTCCCAGGTTCAAGTGATTCTTCTGCTTCAGCCTCCCAAGTAGCTGGGATTATAGGCGCCCACCACCACGCCTGGCTAATTTTTTTGTGTTTTTTAGTAGAGACGGGGTTTCACCATGTTGGCCAGTATTGGCTGGGCATAGTGGCTCATGACTGTAATCCAGCACTTTGGGAAGCCGACACAGGGAGATCACTTGAGCCCAGAGGTTCAGGACCAGCCTGGGCAATGTAGTGAGACCCCATGTCTACAAAAAAATTTAAGAATTAGCTGGACGTGGTGGCTTGTGCCTTTGGTCCTAGCTACTCAGGAGGCTCAAGTGGGAGGATGGCTTGAGTCTGGGAAGTTGAGGCTACAGTTAAATGGGATTACATCACTGCACTCTAGCCTAGGTGACAGGACATGACCCTGTCTCAAAAAAAGAAAAAAACACGAAAGTACATAGTATCTCTTGAAAGAAGAGCCTAAAAATGTTATACCGTTTCACCTAAAATGTTCATACCTGAGAATTTATCCAAAGGAAAAGTCGTTTTTAAGAAGATAATAATTGGAAGCTATTTAATCTAAATACTAGCAATTGAATACTTAAGTAAATTGTGATACA